CCCCCCTCCCCCCTTGCCATACACTATGAACGCAGCCTAATAACAGTATAGCTAAATTATCTCTATTTTCCAAAGCGTTTGGTTTTGCTTCAGCTTGGGGATTATGATAAAACTCTATATTTCTTTTCTCTTATTTTAAACTTTACTTGCTATGTGATACATCTATTCTCATACAAGTCCAACGATTAGCTGAACCTGCGGTTAATCTATACAGCGTACATTCCTATTTCGGAATGACTTGGATACACACAAAAATTTTGGTCATTTCGTAATAAACATTTCAGTTTTCTAACTTCCTGTTGAGTTCATTTAGACGACTTCCACGCCATATTAGTTGGTTACGGGATCCATTGTCTTTGAGATTGGGTTGCGAATCGTCAGATACTTCATTCTCACCGGCAGCCATTTTGTTACTTTGCGTTTTGGAAATTTTAGCCGTTTTTTTGGGGAACTTTTTTCTTCTCTCCGAAATATGATGCAGTTTGAGTTTATTATTTTTGAGATAACTGTTGTTTGTAGGTGCACCAAGATTTCTTGAGGAACCATTTGTCAAATTACTCTTTCCTTTTTCTAGTCTTGAGCTTTGACTCGGAGATTCCGGACTTTTACTAACTGTGAAAGAAACGCCATTCTTCACAACACGAACTCCTTTCACATCAGAGTAATACTTTCCTTTTCTCGTAGTTTTCTTTACTTTATTACTTATACTGCTTCGTTTCTTTCCCCTCTGATATCGAGACTCTCCCTCGACAAGTTTTCTCTGATCAAGTTGCTTCTTCTTTTCTTGGCCAACCATTTTTGCACTATTAAACATCCCATGTCTTGATTTAATTTTTGATGAAGCTTTCTTTTTCAAAATTACGTTTGAATTCCTTAATTTTCCATCAACTTTTTTGCTTCCATTTTTCTTATTCGTAGACATTGATTGTCTTGGAATCAAAATCATTTTGTAGATTGGTGGTTTAGGGATGGAAGATTTGACAAAAAGCCTCTGTTTCGTCCAATTTGGATGTAGCTTAGCTTTTTCTTCCTTGCCATTAGGTTCTCCTTGAAGATCTTTTTTAGGCTGAGGATTCTCTCCGCTGTTTTCAAATGAATGTCTTCTCTGTTCCTGTGTGAGACGCTTAAGGTCGTCTGCCCTTATCAAAGGCAGCTCCTCCTTATTTGCTCCTGATCCAAAATAAGCATACTTGCTGTTAAGTTCTCCGGAATTATTCATATTTTCTAAGCCAGAACCACTGTCTACTTCATTATTGAGTCCCACAGCCTTTGTTGGCAAATTTCTAGTTTCTTTATTATTTGAATCAAGCGTTGCTTGTCCAACATTGCCGTTTTGGTCTTCCCCAATAGGGTTTCTTCCCATCTTTCTGTTCATCATCTCCTCGCCCGACTGCACTGTCTTCCCATCCATCGAGCTAGACCTACCGCTATATTGAGGTCCAGGTTCATCGTTTTCTTGGCTAGAATTCGTTCCAGAACCTTGTCCCATCATAATAGTTACCCCATTACCAGAAATACCATCAATTTTATTCTTTTCAAGTTCATTTACAACATTTTCAAAGTTGTCATCACCGCTCCCGCTATTTAATAAATTGTTAAGCTTGGTGATTATTTTACTTTCTGTGGTCTTTTCTGCCTCTGTCATGCCACTGTAATCAGGCTGGCTTCCATCTTCGTTTTTTCCTTTAGTACTGCTGACCTTTTCTAAAGAATTTCCTCTACTCATCGATCCTTTTTGCAAAGCTGAATTACTACTCTTGCCGTAGATAGTATTTTGCTTTTGAAAAGAGAGCAGTTTGTTTTCTTGCTCAAAAGAAGTTTGAGGTGCGTCAGAGTTCGAACCGCTTGTATCGGCGCCGCTGCCACCATCCCACAAGGCCGCGTCATTCTGTTTTTCGGCAGGATGGGAATCGGATGCTTCCAACTTCCTTTGTTTTTTCATTTGTACAGAGTTTGGAGCCACTAGGACTTTATCGCTTTGACCGACGTCTTTTTTTCCTGGATCCAGATCAGCAACACCATTCAAGTTTAATATTTTAAGTTTCTTTCCTGTTGTCAGCTTTTGTTCGCTCTCTTTGGAAGACATCTTGTCGTTCTTGTCATTTAAAACTTTTGTTTTATGTTGCTCTTTTTTCGAATCATCCTGTTTATGTTTCTTCTTAATTTTGGTTTCTTTTTTGAGGTTGTTCTTTGCTTTCTGCTTCGTTGTAGTGTTTGCCTCTTTTTGCTCTTTCTTGTCATTCCCAGAGTCAGAACTTGTTTTCGTCATTGACGTCTTATTTTTATCGTCTTTCATCTTTTTCTCTTTCTTCTGAGCTGCAGAAACACCTGGGGACATATTTTCAGTTTCAGTTTCTTTTACAAGTTTGAGTTTCTTCACTTTTTTAGAATCTGGAATATTTTGTTCATCTTTTGTCGTTTCGTCGTTTTTCTTTGACTTTTGAAGTTGGTTCGCTGCTGCTCCAAGGAAGATCACACCATTTTCATCTCCTTCATTCTCGACGTTTACTTTTAAGTTATCCTTTTGCTCTGATGTTTTATTCTGAGATTTCTCATCATCATTCTGTTTTGCTCTACCATCTAACTCTATCACGCCGTTGTAATTTGCCTGACTTTGGCTTAGACTCTTTTTCACTTTTTCATCGTTATTCTCTGGTAACTTGTTTGCTGTGTTTTGCTTGTCTTCGTGACTTTCTTTGCTTCCTTTAGCAGAACTTTGGCCTTTTTCCCCCTTATCCTTTCCAACTTGTTCCGGCAAAATGTGTGTAATTTTGACTTTATTTTGATTTAACTGAGGAAAAGCTGCAGAATTTGCCTTGGAAGATGACTTAGTAATCCTAGATATACGATTGGTGGACCCCGTTTCAACACTCTTCACTCCTTCAGCATTCTTAACATCTCCACCTTTCGAAATCTGCTTTCTCTCAGGAGGCATCTTGAGCAACGCCTTCAAATCCCCATCCCCTGAATGAGCGTTTTTCATGGCTGCAACGCCAGGCTGTGTTCCAACCTCCACGACGTTCTGTACACCATTATTCGCTTTAACCTTTTTATTTCCACCGCCTATGGCTGGCTTGTCATTCGAAGACATCTTACTTTCCTTTACGGTTTTCTCAGGTAGGCCAGTTTTTGTCGTGCGAGAAAGGGTTTTTTTGCCTTTATTTCTTTCAGTGCTGCCATCTGAAGTCTTTGCAACGGTTTTTAACTTCGAAAACTTTGCTTTTAAGCTCGGTTTATGACTTTGTACTTCCAACCTTTGTGCTTCTTTACTACCAGTACTTTTCGCGCTTGTATTTTCCTTCAGATGTCCTCCCTTTCTTGGCTTGGTGTTGGTAACTTGATTTGCATCCTTATTGATTTTTTTCTCATTAGCATTCATCTTTGTTGGATGTTTTTCCTTGCTGTAAACTTTTCTCAATGGCTTGACTTTAATACTAGTTGTTGATTTGTCCTTTGTATTTTTCTTTTGTGCTTTAATTTTCATCTTCTTATTCAGATGATCTTTTTGTTTTTTCATATCAATACCAGCTTTTTTCCTCGTCGAAGGTTTTGAGACCTCTTTCGTAGGTTTTAACGGAAAATCAAAAAATATTCTACTATAACTTTCTATTTCTTCGTGTGCAAAATCTTTTCCATTCACAGCTTTTATACCATTTCGTGCCATCCCTTTCTTCCTAGCAGCATGAATACTTTTGATTGCATCTTCAAAATTCTTCCCACTGTCTTCATCTTTAAGCTCCGCTTTTGGAATTTTCAATATTCTTAAAATTTCTTTAATATTTTGGTTGGTCAATCGGTTGAGTGCTTTGTTGTGAATCTCATTACGAATTCTCTCTACATCGTTCTCGTCATATTCTTCATTATTACTTTGCTGTGTTTCTTCTAGTTCGACGTTTACTTTTTCTCTGGTGTGGTTCTTATGTTCCTTTTTGTGCATTCTAGAAAGATCTTTTTGCACTCGTCGAACAATCTCAGGCGAGAGAGTCTGCAATGCTTTTTTGAGTTCAGAGAAGTTCACTTTAACTTTGATAGATTCGACTTGAAAATCATCGATTTTTGAGTTGAATTTCTCGGACAATTGTTCTGGTATAACATTTAGCTTATTTCTCGCTTTATTTTTGTTTCTTTGGGTCTTTCCCCTCTCTTTTTTCTTTGGTTGCAGTTTTGAATCTTGTTGGACAGTTTTTGTAACTTTGGTTTTTGATGAAATTGTTGTTTTACCAAATTTGGCATGTAATGCTGACGTCACTTTCCTAGCTGACTTGTCATTGGCTTTATACTGGGCATGCGTACTTGAGGCGTTGCTTGTTTTTTTCTTGGACTGATTAGCGGCAATCCCTTTTGAATAGAAGAAAAAAGAAGAAAAGAAAAAAAGTTATATAAGAGTGTACATTTGCCTGAAAAAGTTTAGTAAATCCATGTGAGTTCATCCTTTTCACGTACCTTTTCTATGTGGCCAAGCTGATCCAATACCTGGGGGGGAAAATGACGATAACTTTCATTTGAAAGATATTCCAAAGTTTTTGAAATAGCGGTTGAAACTAGTCAGTCGCTATTAGTTTCGTCACGCAACGTTCACTACTCATAGGAGTGAACATTGCGTGACGACGCTAATAGCTGTTGCGTAGGAGACTGAGTTGAAGCTTGCTGTTTGAGAACAAAATAAATTATGCCATGACTTACCAGTAAAATAAACAGAATTCCTCAAGATTCCCCCGCAATTATCAGTCCTGCTAGAACCACATTTCATCATGCATTCCTCTTCTCTAACTCGACCGTATTTACTGTACGTATTTCCACAGAAGCACTGGGTTGAGCCCTGAATTCCTGCTACTGAGAAGCTGTGCTCTCGACACTTGAGAACACAGGACCTCACGGACAAAGAACTTGCTGGCATGGAGTACTGGAATGGAAGGTCTCGCTGGTAATCATCAGCAAAACATCCAAGATAACGAAAAGGAAGAGGAACTGAAAAAAAAAAAAAAAAGAGAAACAAAAAAATAATTAGAGAATTTCCTTATCTAGTACAATTAAGTCGAAAAGCGAGGATTTTAGAGAATACTCCAGTTTCGAGTTCTCTGTTGCTCAGGACTAGCCTCGACTTATTTTAAGTAGAATATTATGGCATGTGTTCCATTGAAGGTACGTGGAATTTATTATTCTTTGGCAAGTCTACAAGGTTGCAGAATTCGAAAGAGCGCCTGGCAATTGAACTAGTCAAATTCTACCGAAACCTATATTTTGTCAAGTTCTCTTAGTGACTACATTTTTTCAAGTCCCTCTCTCAAACGGCTAACCGAAAGAGATCTAGGTAACGGACGTTAGGGAAAAAGTATGCGCTACTTCCACCACAGGTAACCCACACGTCGGAAAAATTGATGCGGATGTGTACAGATATTGCATTTTTTCTTCAACTTACTTGAAGAGGAAGGTTTGAATGCCTGGCCAAAATTGCTTAACTGACTCCATTTGACAGTGCGCATGCGATCTATATAAAATAAAGATTGCGTGTGTTAGTAATAATGGTTAATGACGAGAAGAAACACTCGGTTATAAAACATGCATTTTGAACCTAAATCCTGGTCCTAGTGATAAAACTCGGAGGAATCCCATGTCAGTGACACTATTCCAATCCTCAAGAACCTAAATCGCGGTCCCAGTAATTAGCCTTAAGCTTGGAGAAATCCCAAGTTCTCGACTCTATTTCCCATCCCCATTGAGTGACCAAAAATCCCACGGTCCCAGTGATGAACCTTGGAGAAATCCGATAATGATGATTTTTTAACCCATTCCAAGTAACCTAACCTCTTTTCCAGTAACCTAAATCTCAGTACCAGCAATCCTTGAAAAATATTCAATTTTCTCAAATGTAATTCAATCTATATAAATCTTCTTTCCTTTTTTCTAAGTTTTCTGACCTGCTAGTTTCTGTAGCACAAGGTTTGGCGTGAAATCCTTTGATATATCCACATCTAGGAAAAGAAGTAACAATTTAGATATAATAATATAATAAGCATGATAATCATTCTACTCTGCTTTTTTAAACACTACTTACTACTGTATGATTTCAAGATGTTTACAGATTGTGGTCTCCACGTATTGTATGAACGTAACTCTGTCAAAAGTATCAAAAATAAAATGGTGTCAGGAAAATAAGTTAGAGAGTCAGTCAATAGGCAATACCTGGGTTTAAACTCACACTGCAACTGCCATGCAGCGTCAAAGATTCACAAGGAATCGAATATAAGGAATAGACCCTTTTCGAGTTCCAAATTACCGCTGTGTTTCTTGATTACAGACTCATTTACTCAGGCTTAGCCTCGAATCATTGTCTAATTACTCGCAAATACCAACGGTAAAGTAAAGAATGCTCAAGTTCTACAATACGAACACTTTGAAACTTGACGGACCTTGACTGGAACACGCGAATATTCTTCACAAAATCGAGGCTTAGCTTGAGCAAATGAGTCTGTAATCAAGAAACACAGCGGTAATTTGGAACTCGAAAAGGGTCTATTAATCTCATAAAACAAGTCCTGTCTACCTGTGAGCTTTGGCTTGACGGTTTTATGTAGGTAGCCTTTGTTGTAGGTGGGTTTCGATTTGGGTTTACTATACGTACTCCTGGAGAATGGATTCGTTCTTGTTAAATAATGATAGGGACTTTGCTGCAAACCTAGGCCTGTTGACGCCTTAGCTCCTGCATAGGATAAAAGAGTACAATACAATTATTGGCATATAGTGGTCTAATGTTACTGTCAAACTAAGAAAACCATGAACACCTAAAATATGTCTGGAATGTTAAACATCGTGTTCTGACCAATGGCATGCGAGAATGATTTCATTTCTAAGTTAATTGTCGCATGTGATTGGTCAGAACGCGATGTTGAATATTCCAAACATATTTTAGGTGTTCGCAGTTTTCTTAGTTTGACTGTAATTGAAACGATTAATGAAATCAATATATTTTTGCAGAAATTTAGACCTCGCCTTAAACACTTATTGTTTTTGCAGAAACCAAGGGTTTTCTAGCAAAAGTCCCCTTTCCGGCCTCTCCACTCTGGGGTTTCAGGATCAGATCAATTCCCAGACTCCATCCATAAATATGTCGAGCAGAGTTTGCCAGGTCTTCCTTGGTTCGCGAAGGTTTTATTCCGTGAATTCTCAGGCTTTCCTCCCTCCGCAATTAACACGCTAACACATTAAATTCTAATTGGATGTGTGAGTAAGCATGCCATGGCTTGAATACGCCCAGAACTGGTTTCATGGTATCGATAAAATTTAAAGGTTCAGATTTTTTATTCATTTTCGATACCTGATACCCATGCTCTACCGTTCCAAGTCCATCCGTTTCTAGTAAGAGGGATTTGGGAGCTACTCCAAGTTCTATATGCGTTCTTGGATGCCAAAGCTGGATGATGAGTCCATCTGTATTGTTTTCCATCGGCTCTGACCCAGGATGATCTAAGGACGTTCCATCTCCATGGTGACGAATGAGCGAGGGATGATGGTTTGTTTACTGCTTTACGAGCTGAGAAAACAAAGTAACTTGTTGTTTGTATGAAATTGAATTTTCCGGGAAACAAGCAAGCAACAGAGAGAGAGAGAGAGAGAGAGAGAGGGGGGGAGGGAGGGATGAATTTAAGAGGAAATACTTAGTAGTGAAGCAAATAGTATAGTAAAGCTTAAGTAGGAAAGAAGACGATCAGAGAAGGGCGGAAGGATGAAAGGATGTAAAGAAAGGATTAAAACGAACGAAAGAAAACGAGCGAACGAACGAACGAACGAACGAACGAACGAACGAACGAACGAACGAACGAACGAAGTAGGAGAAAAGAGGGAGAGAAGATCGAAGTAGAATAGGTAGCCAAGACAAAAGAGTTCATTCAAACAAATACCTTGCAATATATTTCTCCATGGCAACATGCCAAATCTAGGAATCGATTGCTTTGTAATAACTGCAATAAATGATATCACAAACAAAATAGATTATCAAAACCAACCTAAATTTTACTAACGACCAGGTATGAATAATATATGACAACAATGGCGGGAAATAATCACGTGACCATGGACTAACCTGATTGGTAAGTTTTCTGAAAGCCGTACGGATCCAAGTGGAATTTTGTATAGGCTTCTAGACCTAGAAAGTGTTATTAATAAATTATAAGTTTATTATTAAATGCGATAGCTTCCTTATATATTAAGTTTTGTTTTCACCAAGAGTATATCATCCAGGAAAAGGTTGGGTTGGGCGCTAGCAGTGTTTTCCAAATTCTAGCTTGGCGATCTAGCTTGGGTAAAAACAACACCACATTGCTAGCTTTCACTCAGCTGATAAAAGTTTTTGAATCTCATTATCTACTCCGCATGGTGGTCAAACACTGACCACCATGTGCTGTCAACCAGAAAGAATTCTATTGAAAACTTGCGATTCAGCTGATGAACATTCTTCACGAGACATGCAAAGATGTCAATTGAAAGCCAGCAATGAGGCAAGATACTGACAAAAAATATTTGTACAAAAGCTGGACCTTATATTTAATGTACTATGTTCGCTGTCTCAAGAAAATGTCTATGCTTGGGATATCCAGGGGATGGCGGAGACGTTTCGTTTGGGGCATCGGGGATATCGTTACTAAGCCAGTAGGCTAGTGTTAGAGCTTCCAAGGATCTTCAATGACGCTGCAAGGTTTTTTCGAGAGTTAACTCAAAGAAATAAGTCGCTAGAGAAAGGAAAATAATTTCTATTTGCAATGAAAATGAGCATAATTCCAGAATTACTTATAGAAATTTGCTTATGTCCTGTGTATATACCTTTGAGATTAAAGAGGAAGAAAAACTTTACAAATTACTTTCTAAAAGAGATTTTTAAAATTAAATCTAAAGAGGAATCTATACTGGCATTCTAGATAACACCCACTACCCCTTCCTTCTATAGCAATCATTAATACTGGATCATTGTCAAAATACTACAGTATCTATCAGCTCTAAATAAATTCCCTTTTATGTCGAAACATTCTGTAAATTTATTTAGACTAAAGTTAACTAACGTCCAAGCCTTGCATCGCGACGCACTAGTTTGCGAAAGAGAAGACAGGAGACATTGGTTTTGGAATAATTTTGGTCACGCTAGTGGCAAGTTTAATAATCAATAAACCTATGTAATCGTACAAAATACCAAAACCCAAAGAAGCTATGTCTTCGGCAAAGGTGGGGCGAGAATAAACACGCCCAACCTAAATTGATTAAATACGATAATCCAACAGGTAGGCCGCAGGGGTGGAGGTGGGATAATTTTACAGTGAACTTGCTCGACTGCGATAATAAAAGGAAAGAGGCCTCGTGGTAGTAAGACGCGCCTTAAGTACTGCTACGTAATAACAGTAGTCATATCCTATTGGTCGACTTGAGATATGCGGATTCATCTAGTTGGATTACCGGATCCAACAACAGTATAATGTTTCGACATAAACGTCATTATGCTGTCAGCATAATGTTCTGTTATTCTTAAGGAAATCAATAGTTTATAGTCGCATCTATAACTGACCTGAAGGGCGATAAACGGGCTTGTCTCCAACGATACCTGAATAAAACAAACAGAGTATTATCTAATAAGAGGTTGATAACAGTAAAACAATAAATAATGAGTTTTACATTATTATTCGAATGGTGGAAAGGTTTTTACTTTTCGCTGGTCAATTTTCACAGGCCTTAAGACACCTCCGTTTTGCAGTGACGTCATTTTCTACGTCACTAATGTACTCATTGTAATAGAGACCTTTAGCATCAAGTTTCCCGCTAACCAACCTTAACTAACACTCGGCATCAATGAAATTCAATATGGCGACTCTTCCAGCAACAGCTCGTTATGACGCCTTGCTAAATGTCGAAATTTTGACGGAAAACGACTGACGTCGAACTGCAATTTGAAGTTTGCAGTACCTAGTAAGAGCGTCGCTCTAAAGGTCCCCATTATCAAGAATGAGTTTAGTGCAATCTACCTGTCCAGTATTGGGAGAAAACGTCCACACCGCCACACTTTTCGTAAGGATTGTCGTAACAGGGCATGTCGCATCTTCTATCACTTGTCTGTGGAAAGAAAATATCTAGAGTAACCAGAGCTGTACAGAAATTCTTTGAAAATAGCCGTGACAGTTATTGTACCGCAAGCGTTTGAAATTATAGACGACTTTCATAACTCAGTTTTTTTCAGATAGAGAAAATGAAGCCTTTTTACCAGAAACTATTAATGCTATCTGAGAAAATACTTCACGAAAACTATTTCCAGAAAAGTTTGTAGAATTTKACTGCATACCAAACAAGTTATGAAAGAACGAAAATAGATAGTTTTGTATGTATTTATCACTGGAAGCCTTGGTAGCCTTGTTTTTGTGCATTTTCAAAACTTCAAATGCTCACATCTTGTAAAGGATTTAATAATTTAAGT